TATGGCGAGCATCTCTTTCTCGTTCGTGGCATATGCCTCTTCTGTTTTGTTCAAAGAGCGAGAAATAAAGGTTATTGGTTTGTCCTTTCCCATTTCCCCTTGAGACAGTACTGCACCTAAAGCACTGTTAGAAGCGTCTGTCGTAAGATTAAATGGTTTGTCAAAGTCCGGGAAGGCTAATACTTCCGACGACGTGAGCAACTCCTTAAGCTCGTTAAATGCTTGTAGCTCTTCCTCCCCGAGAATAATTCTAACTTTCTTCGATTGATTAGCCTTGACTTGTGCCATCTCGCCACGAGTGAGAGTGGTTAAAGGTTTAGCTACTTTGGCAAAGTCTTTAATGAACCTCCTATAATAGGATGTTAATCCCAGAAAACTTTTGAGCTCTTTCAGGGTCTGGGGTGGTACAATGTCAAGGATTGCCCTCACCTTCTTCCTATCAGGCAGTATACCATCCTTAGTAACCACGTAACCAAGGAATTCTACCTCGGTTTTCATAAAAGCAGTTTTCTCTAAATTAACCCTAAGGTGAGCGTCTCTTAGACGCTGAAATACTTTCCTAAGGTTCCCCAGGTGTTCCTCAATATTACCCCCGTATACTATTATGTCGTCTATATAGACATAACATATTTTCCCTATACAACCTCGCAGGACGTCATCGACCATACGCTGAAATATAGCAGGCGCATTCCGTAGGCCGAACGGTAGCCTCAAAAACTCATACTTCCCATTCATTGTTGAAAAGGCTGTCTTTGGAATATCCCTTGGATTCATTGAAATCTGATGAAACCCCGAAGTGAGGTCAAGGGTTGTAAAATATTTCGCCTTGCCAAGGCTCGCCAAAGTTGAATTTATGTCGGGAATTGGATATGTGTCAGGTATGGTGACGGCATTCAGTCTTTTGAAATCCACCACCATCCGATATTGTTTCTCTCCATTTGGTTTAGGTTTCTTTGGGACCACCCAAATGGGAGAATTATAAGGACTTCTTGACGGCCGTATTACATTATTATTCAGAAGTTCTTCTATTTGTCTGTCTACTTCAGCACGCATACAAGCTGGACAAGGATAACTCTTTGAGTATATTGGCTCATCAGTGGTACACCGTATCTCTGCCCTAATAGATGTTGCTGCCAATTCGTTATTTATTGGTCCAAATATGTCACTAAACTCGGCTATTAGGTCACTCAATGTAGTGCATGATGGAAGTACGTTAATTTCGTTCAATGTCTGAATTCTAAGTGGTATACTGATCCCTGGCGAGATTGTCAGTGTATTATTTTTGTGGTCTATTATAGCTTGAAGCTCACGTAGAGTATCGTCGCCGATTATACCATTGAAAGATGTGAATCCCGATAGTACATAGAATGTAATTGTCGTATCGTTACCAAATGGGGCAAAGAATTTCCCCTTTACCTTCTCACTAATTTGTATTCTCCCTGAGGCAGTACGAACATAAAATGGTTTATCTAATTTCTTTGAACTGGGGCATAAGGCTGGCTCAACAAAGTTTTTTGTAGCCCCTGTGTCTATTAAAAATTTTATTATTGAGCCATCCTTTAATTCATTGCTTACGTATGGTAAGCCGGAAAGGCACGAGTCCGAAAATTTATTTCGTCGTCGGCCGGTTCGCCCTCATTGTCCTCTTGTGTCATGTTAAAAATTCTCTGTTGTTTAAACGGGTGTTGTGCCGACCCGGGACGAACCTGTTCCGAAAAAGCCCGCCTTTTGTGGTTATTCCATGGTCGGTTTCCGGTCCCCCTAGATTGCGTACTCTGATCTATGTCCATTGGTTCTGGTCTGTGGGGAGCAGGCTGTTGCGCAACACGCCGTGGCTCAAATTGTCGGTTAACAAAAGGGTTCGCTTGAGGTTGATACCGGTTTTTCGGTACAAATTTTTGGAAGGAAGCTTGGTTTCGAGTCTTACTTGGGTGGTGATTCGGAAAGTTATTAAATCCCATTGGAACCTGGACCCTATTCTGACCATTAACCGAATGTAGGGAGACCTGACTCCTGTAATTGGCATTTCTCAATTCCAAACATTGCGAATATGCCTCGGGAAGTGTCTTTGGCTTCATGAGCATTATCATCTTTGACAGCTCGCCATTAAGACCCCTTATGAAAACTTCCAGTGTCCTATTCCTATAAGTCTCTATTAAAACGTTCGTCGTTTCTTCAGAATAAGTTTCCGTCTTCAATTTGTTTATGATCAAGGAGAACTGGTGATTTACTGTAGCGTAGAACTCGTCTACGCTCATACTCTTCTGAGCTAGTTGGGTCAACTGATGTTCTAGTGTGCGAACATCTCTTTTGTCTGCATAATGCAGAGAAAGACAGTTCTTTATCGATGCCCAGTCTTCATCGAATATGTTGTAGGAGGTAAGGGCGGCATCAGCCTTTCCCCTACATTTTCGGCGTATAGCCTGAACAATAGCCCTATATATCGGCTTCTGCCGGACGATCTCATAGTCCTTCAGGATACTCTCCACGCTATGTATCCAGGATACATACTGCGTGGGGTCACCCTCAAAAGACTGCAAGTCCCTTACACAGTCGGGAAGTTTTCCTATTTCGTTCAATTCGGTTTCTGTGGTTGGAGCACGCAGGGGGGGAGGAGGACTTTCGCCCTCAACAACCGGAGGATTACTGGGCCTACGTTCCAAATTCAGCGTTCTCTGATCCAGAGTTTTTAGCTGGTTTAGAACGGCGTTTAGGGCGCCAGTTAACTCTGTTACCTTACTTTGCAAATGTTCCATACTTACATACACATATACATATACATAGGAATTTGCAGGTTCTTCCCTCTATATTTTGCAGGTTCTTCCCTCTATATTTTTACAGTCACCCTTACAGGATATGCCTTCCAATAATTCTCCCTCTTCTCTTCAAATTAATTCACTGGTAGTCACAGGATCGAAATTTCACTTAATTGTCACTGTTCTTTCTTTCTTTAGGTGGATCCTCTTTTCCACAAAAAAAAATTTAAAATTTCACTGTTTCTTTTTTATTTTTTCCAGGTTTTAGTTTCTGGAGGGTCCCGTAGGAATCGCAAAAACTTATTTAATTTCACAATTTCGGGGTCGAAATTTCACTTAATTGTCACTGTTCCTTCTTTAGGTGGATCCTCTTTTCCACAAAACAAATTTTAAGGTTCACTATTTCTTTTTTATCTTTTCCAGTTTTTATTATTTAGTTTTTGGAGGGTCCCGTGGGAATCGCAGAAACTTATTTAATTTATTAATTTTATATATTTAATTTTTTATTTAATTTTATAAGGACTCCGCTTTCTCTTGGCGGGTCCCTGCTCGGGCGCCAGTTAACTTCCTTTGTTATGTGAAATTAAAAAAAATGATTTTTAAGTGGACACCAACTTGTCCACTATAAATGAAACATGTTAATTTTTGGTTTACAATTTTATTCAACGACCGCTTTGGTCAACCTCCCAAGTAAGACTAACTCTAACAATATTTTTAAATACTTAAATCTAAATAATTCTGCTGATCCAACTTATTCCATTCCCACCTTGTGAAATCTTCCAGACGAAATATGATCCTGCATACTAGCTTGCGCGTGTGCACCGTCAGCACAACCTTGTGTAGATTTTTCCCGCTCATGTATACTTGATTGTGTTAACTTGGCTTTAATAAATGTCTATTTAGTTCAGATGTATAAATATAACATATAATTTCTAATTATTATTAAAAGTATCCGAATAACATATATTTTGCGACAAAATATACATCACTATGACACATTTTCTTATTTTTACTTATTTTCCTTGTAATTTTTGATAAATTTTTGCAAATATTGATAAATTTCTTTGATATTTGACTAATTTTAATGCCGGCGAATATATTTTGCATTAATATAACACTAATCAATATAATTTACATGGTTAATTACTTTATGGCATTATATTTAACAAACAAACTTTGAAAAAGCCAAATCGAATGATTTTGTCCATCATTTGGTTGACAGACGGGCATTTCCAAATTGCCTAAAAATAGTGCTGGGCAATTGGAATATTGTCAAATATTCATGCATTAATCCAATAATGCCTAGATTTGAGTCTTTTCCTCAAAATATAATCGTTTAAAAATTTTCTGGGATTTTATTTACAAATTTGTAAACGTTAAAATTAGAATTTTTAGATTTTATTTTAAAAGAAACCATAATAAAACTTTATCTGAGAAAAAAATTGTTAAAAATCAACTTATTGTTGGCTTAAAGAAGGGTCGAGCCTACAATAAAGTTCTTCTAATTGTCAATGGTTTATTGAAGGTGTTTTAAGCTATTTCACGTTTATAAATACGATTTTCCTGAATTTTGCCTAAAATTGTTTAATAAACCTAAAATAAGTTTTTATAAAAACGGCCGTTAATGTTATGCATTTGATATAAAATTCCAGATAAAGGGAAACACACATCTGAAATTTTAGTAAAATAAAATACTGTTAACCCATAAACTGTGAAGGTCAAACTCAAGCTATGCAATATTTAAAAAAATTTCTTGAGACCATAGTGAGATATTTTGTTTTCAACAGATTTAAATTTGGGAAAAATATACAATAAAGACCCGTATTTATGATGACATCGAAATATTCCGAGAAAATTGTGTTAGATAAAGAGAAGCTTATATCAGATTCTGATTCAGCACCTAAGAATACATAAATTCAAGTCAAGTTGGTATTAAAATTTTTCTAAAACTACATTTGGTTGGCCTGTGTTCTTAGACATTAAGAAAATGGTCTTAACAATTTCCTATAGTAGCTATCCAATTATTTTAACCATATAATGTTTCAAAAAACCAAGTGTAATTATAAATGTAGTTTTGTAAACTGATTTGTGCCAGTCTTAATAAGAATGGTTCCATTTGACTTCACTTGCATTATTTTGAAATTAATGTAAGTCATACACTGTGCTCCAAATAAAAAAATCGAGTATGTGCATAATGAATTTTATTTTATTTAGTAAGATTCAATACAGACGTATATAGGAATCGTACTTTTTAATTTTTCACTAGATAACTACATTTTATTTAACTAGTGTAATAATTATATTAAAATATTGTCTTTTTAATTACTACGAAGCCATCGGTTATTACATCAATTGAGAATACAACCATGAATGAAACACTTATTAAAAGAGAAATTGCCAAAGCCGTCAGAAAAAATCCGCTGAACTATAAAGAAATAATGTAAATTAGTTTACAATAAATATAATAACACATAAATATAATATCACTATATGAAATTTTGATATCATGTGAACGTCCTTCGAGAGTAGCTTCAAATGACTTATCATCAACTTTTGTTATAGTAAAAAAATATGGACAATTTTATAATTTTTCGAAATACGTCTTGATATCAGCACAATAAACGTAATTTATAGGACTTATAAGATTTCATTTAAAAATACAATACAGCAAACAAATAATAGACATTTTAGAAATTACACTTATTTTGTAAAAATGACTTAAACTTGGAACCAACATTAGAGTAGAAAGAAAATAGGTTTAAAAAAATGTAAACTAGGTTTCGAAAGAAGATAAGTTCCTTATCTATTTATGGGGAATTTCATGTCAAGTGACCCAACTAAAAAAACGATTTTGACGAAATTTGCACTAAGGTTAGTACTATTGGATAGTAGGTCAGACACAAATTTTCAGCTCTATCGGTTAAGAACTGCCGGACTTAGAGGGGGTCAATGTTGGACATTTTGGTCATACAAATGAATGTAACTTTTCACCTATTCGTCCTAGCAAAAATTGTCCAAAGGAGTTCAGATAGCTATCTCTTCATTCTACCACAGCGTATTCCTGTATGTCTGGAAGAGGTTATTGTCTACTTTTTATTTTGAAATTTCAAGTGGGCGAGGAGCCACGCCCATATTAAGAAAATATTAAATCCGTATATTTGAGTTAATATAACAGTTAGAGTCCTCAAGTTTGTTCGGAGTCACTTTAGTGTCAATATTATTATTTAGGACTAAAAGTGGGCGGACTAGCAATAGCGGGCATGGCACCTCCCATGTAAATTATATACAAAATTTTTTTTATTACTATTACAGTTAGAATCTTAAAATTTTGCACGAATAACTTTAAAATCCATGTAAACATTTTGGGAAATAAATTGGTGGACTACACATGAGGGGAGCGGCACCTCCAATATTAATTAAATACAAAAATTCGTTTATCTGAGAAACTAATAGAACTAAATTCCTCAAATTTTGCACGAAGAACTTCAATATTTTGGAGGACTTTCATCTGGGGGGTGGTTGGTATTGGAACTCCCATATGCATTAAATAGAATAATTCTAAAAACTATTAGAGCTAGAATCTGATAGTACTTTGACATTCATGCGAACAGGTAGAGAATAACAGGCGGACTTTCAATAGGGGGCTTGGCACCACATATATGAATTAAATACAAAATTTCGTATATCTTGGAAACTGTCAGATTATTCAAATTTTTCATTTTAAATTTAAAGCTTATAATTACCCCTTCTGTAAAGTCTGACATATTTGGTAGCTGCTGATATTCAAATATATCAGCCATAACGTAGATTTCATCCTCCGACATATCTGCAATACGAATATTTTTAACGGTTCGTTCACGTCTACCCTTAATACTATACCGCTCGTCACTACTGTCACTGGTCAGGCGAGATCTTCGGCTTTTATACTTGTTTTTGAAATCGAAAGGAAATTGATCTATTTCGGCTTCGATGCGAGATTGTTTACTTAATTGTACAGATTGCTTTGGTCTCAAAACAGCAGTATGCTTAAATTTCACCCTGTGAGACAGTTGTTTCCTTTTTGTATTCAAAGATTTTGAACTAGAGCTGGCCGATGATGTTCTTGAACTTTTAGACATGTTTAGTTATTTGATCAATCTGACGGCGAATAATTTCTTAATATTTATATTTTATAGTTTATCTTTTATTTAGTCCAAAAAGATTAATTAGCACAAAAATCATTAATGCAACAAATAAACCGATTGAAAAGAAAATTATCTATGAAAAAGCTTAAAAAGTAAATTTGAAAATTTTATAACTGATAAATAGCTTTTAATACCTTTTGGGCTAGCGTAAGTGTCGAATGATTCTCGAATCTATCTTGCAAAATTGTCTTGTCCAAAGTCATTGCCAAATTTACATAAAATTCCTGTTTATGGTTTTATCCTACCCATTATTTGAAGTAACCCAAAAGACAAAAAAATCAACACACCAATGGCCGTTGCAACAATTAAACAACCAAATATCTGTGGATTAAAACATTTCATTCTTTCTGTAAAATTTATCACTTTTAGGAAATTTATTCTTACAGCTTTTAAGAATTCACAATTTCTAACGCTATTTGTTGATATTTCGTCGTTATTATCCAATGTGAAATTCGATTATTTATATAGTTTTTGTATAAAATAATTAAAAACAAAAATATTAATTATTCGTAAATACAGTGTATCACATAAATTTTAAAATGAATTTTTTAGAAAAATGCTATGCGATACGGTTTCAAGTTTTTCGATTTTATGTCAGGGCGACTCTTGCGTTTGTCAATACAACAAACAATTTCATAGAAGAGAATTATTACAGGCAGGTGAATACAATTAGAATAACTAAAAAATTTTTTAAAATTAAAAATTTCAATAAAAATACAATATATTTTTAAGAATTAAATGCATTAGAATATGTGGTATTATTATGTTTAATAAAGTCAGAGTTCAATAAACTTAAGTTGCAAGTATTGAAGGTAATCAAGGTATCATTTAAAGTAGTTTATCGTATAAAAAAACAGCAATAAAATGTATGATTTCGTGTCTGACATGAATAAAAGAACAGTATCTTAAACTATCTGATTTGATCGTATAAATACGAATACATTCATTCATCCATTCATTCGCTGTTTGGTACATACATACTTACAAACATTTGTATTAACATTCTTACGTGTTAAATTTAATTGTAAGAATAATGATTTGTATCTAAATAATCGCATGTATGTATAAATCTGTGGACATTTGACAATATCGCTTATCTCGACATACGACAATATAACAACATAAAGGCAACATATTCGATGTAAGTCTATGCCTTCTAGATCCAAAGCTATGACACCGATCAAATCAACTTATTTCGAAATTTGGAATGTTTTTTGCCATGTGTTTTTTTTACTCACCTGTGAAATTCACTTTTATCAAATAAGTGGTTTTGTCAAAAGTCCGCATAAATAATGATTAAAACGCATCTTAAACTATGCGTTTTAATGTACTTAATACGAGAAAAATAAAAAATGTTTTTTTGTAAAGGTACTCAGTTCCCTAACAGCGATTGAAAATCTTGATCTCAGTACAATATGTAAAAAAAAATTCTGCAATCTTTTCGAAATGGGTGTCAAATTCCGACATTTTTAGCTTATGGCGTGAAAAATAATTAAAATTTTGATTATTTTTTGGTCTGCCAAACGGCTCTTAATGTAATATAAATGACATATAAATTCCAAAATAATCTGAAAAATTTCTAAATGGACCAAACTAAAACCCAAACAATTTCCCTTGAATGCTCTCCTAGTGGCCCCATGATGTTCAAATCCTAAACTCGACAACACTTTATCGTTACGCATGTCAAATTTCATTAGAATTTGATAAACTGTTTAGAAGACACATAATTATTTCCCTATTTTTGTATTTCTATACCACTGTACGCAACTTTGTACGAACATTATCTGACATCTTAGAAGTACAATTATTTTTTCGTGAATATTTTTTATCAAAATCCGGCAAAAAAACATTTCCAAAATTAAGCTGAAACTAAAAAATGTAATCTAAAATAAAAATAAAATTTCCCATATGTATTTGTAAAGAAAATGTATATGTACCCAGTAGTACGACAAAGAGTCAATGCATCTGAAAGAGATTTCCACTATTGTCTAACTACCTAATTGATTCTAATTCGTCTTTTGTCACAGATGTACTCTTTGTAAACGAGGGTGTAGATAATCGTCACTTTAGTGTCCCCTTTGTAAGCAAGAGAGTGGACACTTAAAAACAAACTTAAGTTTTTTGTCTGTCTCTTCGTAATCTGTGAGGTGACGATTGATTTCCTCGTAGGACAAGCACATGTTAAAATAGCTAGTCACCTGGCAGGATAGGGGTAACCCTAAGTGGTACATTAAATAAATAAGGTTAAATAATACTGCCGGGTAACAATTCAACCCAAAAAAAAAAACAAGTAAGAAAGTATAGTCGGGCGTGGCCGACCATATGATACCCTACACCAGTTATGAATATTAAATGTGATTTATTTTTCATAATAAAGCATTTATCTTCAATATTCCCTTGTTCCGATACATTTAAGCAATTTATGGATGAAAACCTAATTTTCTGAAAGAGGCTTTATATGGGGGCTAGGGGCAAATATGGACCAAGCCCGATAAAATTTTGTGAATATATTTATATTTACATAATATTTTATTGTGCTAAATTTCATCGCGATATTTGTGTTTATAAGTTAATTTGGGACATTCAAGTAATTTTCTGAAGGGGACTTTGTATGGGAGCTAGGGTCAAATGGGGCCCGATCTTTATGCAATTTGGCAGGGTCATCCAGACTTCTATAAAACTTAGTTGTGCCGCATTTTATCGATATATCTGTAATTTTAACAAAATTATGAGCTCAAAAGCCCTTTTCGGGGGGTTCTGTTCTTTGGGGGCTAGGTGAAATAATGGACCGATTTCAACCATTTTCAATAGGCTTCGTCCTTGGGTCAAATAAAACGTGCGTGCCAAATTTCATCCAATTATCTTGAAAATTGCGACCTGTACCTTGCGCACAAGGTTTACATGGACAGCCAGCCAGCCTGCCAGACGGACGGACGGACGGACATAGCTTAATCGACTCAGAAAACGATTCTAAGCCGATTGGTATACTTTAAGGTGGGTCTAGGACGAATATTTTTGTATGTTACAAACATCAGCACAAATCCAATATACCCTCCCCACTAAAGTGGTGTAGGGTATAAATAGCTAAAATCTAGTAACATTTCATTCAACAGTTCAGGAGGTCGAGTATGATAATGTTTACAACATAATTATTTAATATTTTAGAATATGAGTTTAATAGAAATAATAACCTGTTAATAACAAAATAACTCTTAATACACTTCATTGTTTCAAATAACAATGGTAATTTTTTAAATTCAAAAATTTAACGAAATCACTAAAGAACATGTTGTATATGTCATAGGCGGTGACTTCCAAACATAAACGGCGACTAAGCTCACCTGCTCTCACTCGTTCGGCGCAGGTCTCTGATAGTCGTCAGTAGGGTTCTATAAATCGACTTTCGAATAATCGAACAATCGACTTTTTGTCGAAAAAAGTCGAAAAGTCGACTTTGTAAATAAAAGTCGAAAAAAGTCGAAAAGTCGAAAAAAGTCGAAAAGTCGAAAAAAGTCGAAAAGTCGAAAAAAGTCGATAAGTCGAAAAAAGTCGAAGAAAGTCGAAAAAAGTCGAAAAGTCGGAAAAAGTCGAAAAGTCGGAAAAAGTCGAAAAGTCGGAAAAAGTCGAAAAAATCGAAAAGTCGAAAATAGTCGAAAATTTTAAAAAAGTGGAAAAAAGGTCAAAAACTCTAAAATAGTCGGAAAAACTCAAAAAAGTAAAAAAAAGTCGAAATAAGTCGAAAATTGTCAAAAAGTCGTAAAAAATCGAAAAGTCGGAAAAAGTCGAAAAAAGTCGAAAAGTAGAAAAAAGTCGAAAAGTCGAAAAAAGTCGAAAAGTCGAAAAAAGTCGGAAAAAGTCGAAAAATCGGAAAAAGTCGAAAAGTCGGAAAAAGTCGAAAAGTCGGAAAAAGTCGAAAGGTCGAAAGGTCGAAAAGTCGACCATTTATAAAATACTAAAAGTCGAAAAGTCTAAAAGTCGACTTTTAAATAAATGAAAAAGGTCGAAAAGTCGAAAAATCGACTTTTCATAAAATGGAAAAAGTCGAAAAGTCGACTTTTAACTAAATGCAAAAAGTCGAAAAGTCGACTTTTCGTTTCAACTATAGAACCCTAGTCGTCAGTTGAGATAAAAAGCAGGCGAATTTACATAAGTTGTTATTATTCAATCAGATGATATTTTTTAATATTACTTTTTTCTATCGAATATTATAAAATTAACCAAATTTGATTTATATTTTATAAATACACCCTCTAAATAACATTATTAACTAAAAAATCTGTTCCTGAACATTTTTTATAACAAAACCCATGTGTGTTATTTACCCAGAAGACGCCACATGCGTCCTATGTCGTGGACTATTTTATTTTTCATACATTTATTGTAATATATGAATGTGTTTATTCTGGAAAAAATACTTATGACAAAATAGTCGTTTGTGGAATATCTTGTACTTTACTGAACCAGAATATTGTAACATAAACAAAAATTCCACTTTGAAAATTACCCAACATGAATTAAAGATTTCATTTAGGGCCTAATTTCGTAAATCCCTACGCCTCACTTCACCTATCAATTTTTAAATTTGTATTTTGTAAAACACTGATTTTTTGCGTTGAAACAAGTAAACAAGCTTCGTTATTTGTGAAAAATGTATAGAAATTGATATTTTATAAAACGCATCACCTGAAAAATACAACTTGAAACTTCATATCGAACACCTAATTTATTCAGGCGTTCGCTTTGAAATTTTATAATTAATAATTTAAATCCGAGACACAATTCAGTCGTTAAAGGTGATAACCCAACGCAATAACGATGTGATTTGTAAAATAATTTTAAATTATTTACTTTTTTTGATAAAGCGTTAACTTTTTAATGTGAAGTGTAGGTGATGCGTTCAACGCAGGGGATTTACGAAATACCTCCCTAAATGTTTATTTTTGATAAAAATTCAAAATTTCTTAAACATTTTTGGTTTGTTTAATTCGTTTGCGTACTGTTTTAGACTGCGGTTACTCACTAGCAATGAGTACGAAATATTATAACAAAATACTTGGTAATTTCGTTGCTGCAGAACTGCCACCACCTTATGTAAATTCGCCTTGTAAAACAGAAATAATAATTGATAGTAATAGGGCTCCTAAGTATGTTGTCAAAAATAGCAAATTTAAAGTATGCTGTGATAAAAGTTGTCAATTTCTAAATTGTTAGTCGAATTATAGAGCAAAATGTTGGAAAATCAACTTTTCATAAAGTGCTGAAAGTCGACTTTTCATTTTAACTGTAACACTCAAGGAGAATTTACATAAACCGCTTTGGGCAGGCATTAAATTTGCTCTCTCAAGCTGTAACTTGTTTATTACATATGTTAAATAAAGAAACAAAATACATTGAAATTTAAATACGGAAACAGACATATTATTTTGACAAAATGTTTTTCACAGTTTTAACGGAAATATTTTCAAATAAAAATGTTAACTGTAAAAAACTCTGACAGCTGGGCGTACACGAGTCGAGTGAAAAAAATTATCAGCTGATTGAATAACACCACCTTCCTTATATAAATTCGCCCTAGTTGAACATCAATAATATACTACAGAAATAA